ACGTTGTTTTTTCTGAAAATGGCAATATAGAATTGCTTTGTGGGTATATATATATATATATATATTTACATACAGGAGGTAACACAGGAGCTCGCTGCAGAAAAATCAGCAACACACTTCCAAGCGTTTTCTCAGCCAGCAGACTGTAATTCATCACCAAGCGCGAAATTTTTTTTATTACTGAAAGAAAATGTTGAGACATTGACCATTTTTCCGAGATCAAAAATACTTGAAAAATTCTTCTAACAATTTCGGACTATGTAGAGAAGTCCTTTGATTTGCAAATTGGAAGTTTAAACAAGATGGACACGCGGTAAAGAATCGCATAATTGGACTTCACCTGATTTTTCGAACGATGTCCAATTTTCTCCCTCAAGTAATATTAAAATTGGTCGAATGGCGCATTCGACAAGGAAAAAACAGATGCTTCGGGGGTGAACTTTTCACGTACATTTTTACCGTAGTTTATGGGGTTTGCAAATAACAGCCAGCAAAACATACATTTTTAAAACAAATTCAAAAAATTTATATATTTTCAGACTGAATTTCGACGGAAAGAGAAGTTTTCTACAGGCTGCCTCAGTAAAAACGAAGACATTTTCCGCTTTTTCAATAATCAAATTTGTTTCTAGAAATAATTTGAAACCAGAATTTTCTCCAAAATCCTCTGCTCACGTTATGTGATTTGGAAACCCATAAAAAATGCAATTTGATGAATAATGATGATAGATTGGTAAATTTACCCCTTATGTTTCCTATATACATATCAAAACTTTTGCGAAGCACTGCTTATTGGTTATCTCCGAACGATATTAATGAAGAAAAATGGTACAGTATTCTAACTTCATATTTGTTTTTTTTTCAGATATTATTGGCGAGTGAAGGATTTGCAGTACAAAATAACTTCTTGGGGCCAGAGACGCTCCTTGCGGTCGGAGAGCTTCTACGTGTTCACCTACGGATACCGGATGTACATCCGGATTTATCCGCGTCACAACAACGAGAACTTCTACATTCACGTCGGTCTGACGCAAGGAGAATACGACCAACTGTTGCCTTGGCCTTTCAAGCTGAAGCACTTCGTCACGGTGCTCGATTTATCCCAGGACAAGCCGGAAGATTTGAACTCCAGGTGGGCTGCACATCATTTGACAATATTTTTTGTGATACTTTTTTGAATATAGAAAAAGTCACCCGAGGTCAAGGTATGGTCATTAACTGCTTGGTTATGAGAGTTTAAAGGCGTTTGCTGGAATATACGAGTACACGTGGAGACAAAACCGCGTGAGATGAAAACGAATATATTTATTTTATGCAAATCANGTTGAAATTAGCCGTAATTATAATGCAGTATATTTAGGACTTCCGCCTGGAATGATTCCCATTTGAAATAATCACCTATAAATTGACAGAATTTCAACTCACCAGTGAGTTCCAAGCAGAAATACCACGAAGACTTACTCGTCGTCTGTAATTTCAATGAAAATTCGCAGAGGAATTAGAATAATGGTAAATAAGCCATAGAACGATCATGTTTTCAATGAATTCATTCCCCAAGGCCTACTTCTGAGTCATGGTGACTAAACTTACATGAAAAATGTTAAGAAGATGAATTCTAGTTTAACTCGCGCTTGAAACGAGTTTCTTTGAATTTCGTAACATATATGTTAAATTAAAAATCACTTTTCATTGCCTCCATTTTAAAATTTCAAATTACGACGTATTTTTCAAAGATCTTACTCGCAGTTATATCCGTAGAAGAATTAAAATGACCCACGAACTTCACTGTTTGATGTACAGTATAATTATTATGCGCGGTGCTTCCTAATGGATTTAATAATTTAGCAAAAGATTAAAGTGCGTTTTTTTCTCGCTTTGATGAGCTTAACAAATCTAGTATGGTATCATGAAGCCGTGGAAAAAGTTACTTCACTTTGTTCTGGCTCCATGTGTGATCTACATTTGATGGGTCCGACACCCGCAAAGTTTCTCGCAGAAAATTTGCAACCCGTGCTGAGGTTAGCAATTGCAATATTCTTCAAGTTTTAGTGGTGTGTTTCGAGTTGTAATTCAATTGTGCTGCTCATGATGATGTGAATCGCAAAATGGTTTCCGTCAGTCTCATTCTTTGTGGTTAAGTTCTTGGTCGAAAAATCTTGAGTTGATGTTTTTGTGGCACTTCTGTGGAAATTTTCTGGCGCGGTCTTGTGACGGTTTCCTCCACACGACGGTTGCAAAACTTGGCGACGTGAAATTCTTTTTTGAAACGCGCTTTGATTGACGTGGCGACATTTCGTAAAAACAAAAGTTTAGACGACTTACTTCTTCAATTTATTTGATATCATAACCCCTTTTTCTCTTTTTTATCAGACTTTGGGACCCGAAGGAATTGTGTTCTGGTTGGAATTGGCGACGACCTGCGACCGGAGACAACTACGAATGCGTAGGACTGGGATTCCCAATTGACTTGCTGAAATCCCGGAATTACATCGTGGATGATTCAGTGGTTTTGCGTCTCACCGTGTTCCTGGATTCGGCTTAGAAACATTTTTTGGGTCTAGATACTCAGTAGTATTTAAAATGATCATACTAACGATTGTCGGCAAATTGCCTTATATATTTGGTCAACAAACAAACAAAAACTGAATTAAACAAACTCGTTTGAAGATGGAAGCGTTTTTCGGTTCAAAAGTTCAAAGTTTTCATAATGTCAGATCTAACGACGGGATTTTTTAAAGTTTCATCAGCATTGAAAGAGTTTGTGCAGCCTGATTTCCTTAATATCCTGAAAATCAAGAGATGAAAGTTTCGCACATGCTTTCATTAAATGCGTGGCCTGAGGGTTCCAATTAAAAAAAAAATTTCTACGGTCTGATTCTACTGAATCTGTAAAAAGTTACATTTCTTCTGTAGCAGTAAATACCTTATGCCTTGAACCTAATAGTTTCAAAAGACAAACATAAATTTTTAGAAGTTTGCTGAAAAAGTGAAAACATTTTCTTCGACTTCACGCCGAAACTAGTAAACTCTCTTACACGTATTGGGTTTTATTTTTTCGTTTTTTTTAAAAATCTGATATGAAAGCACAGTGAAGGTGTCCTCGATAATAATTGAATTCAAAAGAGGTGCTCGAAATATCGATCAATTGTTATTTCTTGCGAAATTATTTTGTCCTGGGTTGAAGTGGGTTTTCCCGATAAATATATTTCAGCTCATTTTTTTTAAATGGTAGAAAATGCCGTCACGACGTTTGACAGCTAACAGATGTGTCTTCATTGCATTTTGACTTGATTTTAAACTGCTCAAGTTCCTGCTTCTATTCCGCTTTTCAAAGCATAAGTATTTCGCAAGCCTACAGGTGGTGAAAATACTTAGAATGCGTATATTCAATCAAAAAATTTTAGATTGTTGCTGGAGATGAATTCAGTGACATACTGTAGTGACAAGAAATAACTAAAAATCCCTCTAAATCGGCATAAATTGTCTTATGCATATTTTATATACCTAGACCTCAATTTGATTCTACAATCTTCGCTAATATGTCTTCATCAGTCAAAGACCGGAAAACATGGCGCCGATTGAAGCTAGAATTCGAGCAGGCTTCAATGTATTCTCTCGATTAACTATAGTAATTGGTTCGAGCT